CATTTGTGCATGTATGGACAACATCAGTGCAACTCCTTGTGTATGTGAAGCGTTTTCCTCTTCATGACCAGAGTATAACAGCAGTTGCCCTGAAACAAGTCTCAGTTGTCCTACCTATGTCCAATGCGTTTCACTGATGCCGAGCACCTCGAGGTTGTATCTTTTCATTTCTGCCGCAACTTGAAATAGTCTTCTAGTCTCCCACAATGTACGAACGTTCCATGTACCTAAAAAAATGGTTGCTCTGGTTGTCAGAAGAGGCATCGGCCCCGTGACTTACGAGGGAACTCGGCTTTCATCGCGCGACGTCATAATTCTTCTTGCAACTCCCAGGGCAGAGTTAAAATGGTTTGAATTATTTTTTCTGGTTAGCGTTTTTTTGGCAAGTGAGATTTCAACGGAATGGGGTCGCCAACCCCATGTCCAACCCTCCTCCTTTATCCGGGCTTGGGACCGGCAGTAGCCCCTAAGGTTCTACTGGCGGAGTTACTTGCCATAGAAGGAATATGTCTATCGAAAAGCAAACAGTCTGACTAGTCCATGGACATGGTTCTGTCGTCAATCAATAGCCTAATTAGATCAATTTAAATGACAGCGAGTTGTTAGCCACCAAAAGAAACGTTATAACGGAAAGAATACACTAGAAACTTCTCCAAAGTGATTTGCCAGATAGTATTGCTTTTTTGCTCTATCAGCATGTTTCAGATTTTAACTTTTACTCAGGATTTCCGTAACCGTGTTTTATTTCTTTCTAGGTCTTCATCTTTTGATACGTTAATTGTCACCTTTATTATTTAATGTTGCTATCGCTTGGCCTCGGAAAATTAGGTCGCGTTTGACTAAACTTAAGGTTACTTAATGGTTCGTTTGATTAGTATTAACCATCGACCGCTTGCAAGAAATAGATATTTGAATCCTTGCAGGAGTATATTTTATCAAATGCTGCTACGAATGCTTTTATCGGTTCACATATACGGAACACCTATTTACTAACAATCCTTTTTACTGTTTAGTATGGTTTCCGGTGTTACTGAAACCCTTGACTGCGTAGCACAGGAGTAATTTTTGAGATGTTCTTTGATTTCGATATAGATTAATTCCTTTCTTAAACAAGAACCCATCAAATCTGGCGCAGTGTGTTGTGAAATAATTCAATTTCAGTTAATCAAGAACTCCTGGTACATTATACTGAAGAACTTAGTGCGATTTAATTGAATGAACTTTGGTTCGTTTGTTTCACGTGCAGACCGAATACTGAAACTTTGAACTTTGCAAACGTAAATTGGTCAAACAGAACTCAGACAAACATTAAAAGTCGATTAACGGAAAACATGGATTAGGTGGTCCAAAATGTAAGCAAGACGGGTTAAAGGAACTATCTTTGGGACTGAAAATAGAATCGTAAACTACAGTGAACACACGATTAATAAAACTTTACACTTGGGATTAGAAGAAGCCTTTTTACAGGATATATAAACATGAGGATTTTTCAAAAAAGTGCATATTCCGACAACAACTTTCACAATACCTTACATATTGACAGAATGACCTTTGGGTGTTTATCAGTTATTTCTCGAAATCCTGTATGGCTTCTACTGTTCTTAAAATATCACCTACGTAGGGACTACGAAAAGATCCAGACACATTGTGAGACCGTGTTTATCACAGGGAGGTATCGGCACCCAGGAGCGTTGGGTGGTGATTATTTCATCGTCTTTTCGGAAAAATGACATGAGGACAATAGCTGGAGTTGATGGCGTCTCCCTTTTGATCATACAAAATTTTTTCAACAGGTGTCCGTGATTTTCGTCTTTAGTGGTTGCTTTAGATTTGAAGTAGGGTTTACCACTTAAGTGGTCCACGATCTAACACCGATTCTTATCAACTATTAAATATGCTACGAAATAAATCTTTCCTTGAGTTTCCGTTTTTCATACTTGGGCGAACCCCGTTTTTGCGATAGCGTTAATAAGAAGTCAAATAAAGATTGAGTTCGATGAGTTTGTTTCATGCACGCATTCACGCAGACAAAAGTGGGAATGTAAAGTGTAGAAGTAAAGCGAAGTGGAGAAGGTGGATAAGGCAACTCGGTGTGATGAGGCATGACTTAGTATTTATGGTCATATAAAATTAAAATAGAACTCAGTTAAAAACAACTAAGATATGTGCAAGGGATTTCAAGGATCAAAAGACGAGTAAATAATGACTCAGGCAGGGGAGGTTAGTTAGTTTATCCAAAAGCTAGATCAAGCCCTATAGGTTCAGTACACATGCTACATCATATTTTGTTTGTTTTCAAGAGGGATCATTCTACATATTACTGAAAAGCATTCAGGCGACATTGTTCAACTGAGCCTCTCGAGAGAGTGATTTTTTCAGTGAAATTCGTAAGTCCAGCCTCAGTGATTATTTATTCTAGGTGCTCATTTACTGTTTTACCTTTATTACTACCAAACCACTGCGACTATTTCTTCATCCACTTTTTAGTAATAAATGCATTTTGTGAGTTCAATCTACTTTCCAGGTCTATTTGACATCATGTTCGATTATATTTTAGTTTCTGGGTGACGTCTGTTTGTTCACAGCATCTAGCAAAAGTCACCACTGACGCGCCGTGTTGAACTTAAAATAAACGCGGGAGGTAATGATAGTTTATTGATGAGGTTGAGTTTAAGTCATTACTAATGGATCTTACATGAACTTAATGAAGCTATATGTTCGTGGCTATGTTTATGGAATTACTTAGCTTATTGTTTCACCCTCATTATTCAGGAATCATATTCGGCCAGCATATTTTCGATTAATGCACTTTATACTGTTGAGTTACGTGTTCATTGTGATTCTATGGACCATAGATTGCGTAGAAGAGTCTGTATCTCCTCGAAAACCTTTGTTCATTGAATATCCGAAAGATGCATTTCCACTCCTTCGCCAACAATTAAGGTTATTCTGTCGAGCTGAAGGTGAACCTGTAATCTCTATCACTTGGTACAAAGATGGAAAAATTGTTGAGACCCAGCGGCATAAACCAGGGACATCTAATAGAATTACCAATGCTGGTGAACTCCTTTTTCTTTCATTCGGTGAGGAAGATGAAGGTCAGTATTATTGTAATGCATCGAATGCGCATGGCTGGTCTAGTTCACCTTCTGCTCATGTGAAAGCTGCATTTTTTGATGCCAGTAGTGCATCTGGTCCTGAAAGTAAATCCGTTCATCTTGGACAAACAGTTTTGTTGGAGTGCACTCCACCAATCGGATCACCACCTCCTACGGTGTACTGGAAACATAATAACCAGAAGGTCGTTGATAGTTCACGAGCTAGGCTGATGGAGAATGGAGGTTTAAGAATCGATAGTGTTAAACGTCATGATGCTGGAACTTATCAGTGTTTTACTGAGAATTCTGCTGGTCACTGGGAAAGTAAGTTAGCTACACTCACTGTTCGTCGTAAACCTCGTTTTAAGTTTACACCCATGAGCAAGCAAGCCATCGTTGGGCATTCTGTAGAATTTCAGTGTTTAGCTTCTGAAGATCCCAATTCTACAATTTTATGGAGAAGAGAAGGCAACAAAATTATTCAGGCATCTTTAATTGATAGAAAGACGTTGCGTATAGAGGATGTTCAGCTATCCGATGCTGGTGACTATATATGCGAAGCGAAAAATGTTGCTGGTAATGTTGAAGCTATTGCACATTTATCTGTGGTTTCACCGCCGAAATTCTTAATCACACCAGAGGACAAAACGGTTCCACTTGGTTCACATGTTTCATTTGATTGTTTAACTTCTGGTTCTCCACCCCCCAATGTTAGATGGTTACATGGCAAGTTTTCATACTGGGTACCAAAACCCAATGAGAAACCGTTGCAGGCTGGCAGATTTCTGATATTTCCTAATGGTACACTTTTTATAAATTCAACAACTTTATCCGATGCGGGATTATTTGAGTGCAAAGCATCACAGAAAGCTGGTATTGTCAAGTCAACAGCTCAGCTTTTCATCGAGTCCGTTGTGATATCTCTTCCACTTATTGAAGTGGGACCCCAAAATCGGACATTTTTTCAAGGTATGGTCGCAACTTTACCATGCCACTCAACTGTTCTTCAATATACTCTACAGGTTTCAAACTCATTAGTACATTCTAATATCGATACCTTCACATCTATTGAAACACATTGGTTGGTTAATGGTTCTGCTGTTTCCACTAATTCTAATCCTCGGGTTGTGATACTGAATTCTAGATCTCTACAAATCAATGCTCTTCGTATATCAGACACAGGTTTTTACACCTGTAAAGTTGAGACTCAAGATTTTTCATCTACTCCTTCACGACGCTCTACATCATGGACTGCCTTCTTGCAAGTAATCCAAGGTGGTCCATCTGCAAGTAGTCCGTACCTCTTGCCTGCAGATGAAAGTGATCTGTTGTTACCGGAACCTCCAAAAGATGTTAAAATCACTAGTGTTAGTGATACATGGGTTGCGCTGGATTTAATCAGTGACTGGTCCGTCGGGAATGCTGTAAAAAAGCGTAATCTTGGTGAAAATGCATTAATCATAGGTGTGCAAGTAGAGGTGACAGAGTTCAACACATCCAATGGTTGGCGTGTAGTAGAATCATCTGGTACATATAATTCAATCCGTGTAAATGGTTTGGTACCACAAACTGGTTATCACATTCTTATTCGTTACATAAATCACTATGGAGTTGGTAAACCTTTCATTCTGAATAAATTGGTGTTTACTGAAACCCCTGAATTTGCACGTAACTATCTTCCAACTGAGTTAGTTGTAAAATTACAGTCTGTAGAATTTAGTCCTTTGCATGTTAGGGCAATTTCGCCATCTGAATTATTGGCAGAGTGGTTTCTATGTGGTCCATCCGATACGTTGGTTCTTATTACCGGCTTTAAAGCAACTTATCGAAGTGTACCAATGTCTAGGTGTCTAACTTCTAACAGCAAAAATAATGGATATTATATCAAGGACAACATCATACATTATCCTAAAACAGACCAGAACTCATGTACCTTTAAAGATGATTCTATGGAAAATTTGTTAGACTCTTATGAAGATGATCTAACTCCATGCAGTTTACCAAGGATTTCAAAACAACAATCACTTGACTGGAATCCACCTAGCTTTTTAAATGGTGAAAAAGTTGATTACTACATTCATTCAAGTGTGACTACTACTACTACTACAAGTATAAAAATGGCCATTAGTAATTTACGACCTTTCATATGCTATGCTATTCGTATTGAAGCTTTTATAGATCATCCAGATCATAGTAGAATTTTTGCACAAAATAGTCAAGTTTCAGTTGGCCTTACATTTGATAGTACACCAACAGGTGCACCACAAATTACAAATGTTCGATGGCTTAAAAATGGTACTGTACTTCAACTTGATTGGAATCCACCAAATGAATGGGAACGTGGAGGTATTTTAACAGGATATTCTTTGCAAATTTTATGTACTGCACAAAAACTTAGTCGTACTGTTAATGTGAGTTATTACTTGTTTGCATTTAATTTTTATGTGAAATTGTTTGCACTTTTCAAGTATTAATAGTTTCGATTTGAATTTTAACGCATAACAAAAAATAATTGTATGAGGATCATTTGTTTATGCAATAAAAATGGCCTCAAATGCTCTGGTATCACTAAGAGTGGGAAGAGTTCACACTCCTTAAAATTTTATCATATGGCCATGTGTATCTATCTATATTACACTGTTAGGAAAGTTCTACTCATAGCATTCTCGTGGTGTGGGGTTGTTGTTGTTTACGAAGTCGAAAAGCGGATGTTCGGTGCCTAATCTAGGTTTGTAAATACGGAGCATCGCTTTAGAGGATCTTAAAAAATCTTGGTTCTAAACAAAGAGCTATACATAACGAAATGGTAATATTACATGTAAATTTATAATCTGTATTTCACAAATTATTAGCTTCCCTTTAATACAAATAATTACTCAAGCATATGTTCTAGGCGTATAAATGTTTGTTTTAGTTCAAAGTACAAACAACCTTATAAACGGTATACAATCACTTTGATGATTAGCATTCCTCATAGGATCACAAAATAGGTCAATCAGTCAGTCAGATGCAACGTAGAACTTCGTACGTAAGTACATCAGTTCATGTTGCCATACCACATCACCACACAGATATAATTGTCAATTCAAATCCAATAGTAGAAGAGGTAGTAAAGGTATTAGAAGTAATCGGAGAGATTAGGATTAGAAGATATTATTCAAGAAGTATGATTCAGTGAGAAAAGTTTAGAAAGACAAAACTAGAGGTGTTGAAGAACCCAGAAGATTAGGATTTGAGAGAACACAAAGAATAAATGCACCGGCGCCATTGCGAACGATTTTGAGCCATGTCATTCAAGGTCTCTAACCATCGATTATTATCATCTCGCGGACCCCAACCAGGTAGTCGACATTTAGCGACATGGCTATGTCCACTCGTCAATAACTTCATGGATTTGTGCCATGTTTTGGTTTGGCCGCCCCTAACTTTCTTCCAACCTACTCCTACACTACTAAACAAAGCTCTACGAGGCGGTCGGTGGTTGGGCATACGCAACACATGTCCCAACCACCTCAACTGATGAAGTGTCACTACTGCGTCTATTGATCTACCATTCTTACCTAGCACCCGTTTCCTAATAACAGCGTTGCTCACTCGGTTGTCCCAGGATACACGAGCAATGCTTCGAAGACACCTATGGTCGAAAACCAATAACCGACGAATATCTTCTACTCTCACTGGCCATGTTTCACAGCCATAAAGTAAGACGGAGCGAACCACTTCACAGTACACTCGTCCTTTAGTCAGCAAACGGATATCTCGCCTTCGCCATGTGACGCAGGTTGGCAAAAGCCAATCGAGCCTTCTGTATACAAAATAGGTATGTTGTATTATTTCGGATTAAAAACTTAAACATGGATTATTTTAAAACGCAGTTAGATTTGTGCTGATGTGTGTATAACAACTTGGGCCAGTGCATATTTGTATCAAGTTCCAAGTTGCTTTTGAACGTCAAATTAGTATACAAGGTAATGAACAAGTGTTTTTGTATTGGTTTTCGAGTTTTCACACGATTAATCCCGTCGCATATGTATCAATATATGACGTTTTAAATTGCACGTTAGAAGCAGTCAACACGCTCGACTACTTCACTCCCTATCACTAGTTCAAGAGTGGGTTGTATCGGCACCTGAACTAGTGATAGGGAGTGAAGTAGTCGAGCGTGTAGACCGCTTCAATTATCTTGGGAGTCTCATCAGTGCTGATGGCCTGGTGACTGACGAACTCTCAGCTCGGATACAAAAGGCTCGATTGGCTTTTGCCAACCTGCGTCACCTTTGGCGCAGGCGAGATATCCGTTTGCTGACTAAAGGACGAGTGTACTGTGCAGTAGTTCGCTCCGTCCTACTATACGGGTGCGAGACTTGGCCGTTAAGAGTAGAGCACTTTCGTAAGTTACTAGTCTTCGATCATCGGTGTCTCCGAACCATTGCTCGTGTATCCTGGGACAACCGTATAAGCAGTGTTGTCGTTAGGAAACGCGTTCTAGGTAGGGACGGCAAATCAATAGATGAAGTAGTGAAACTTCATCAGTTGAGGTGGTTGGGACATGTGTTACGTATGCCTAACCACCGACTTCCGCGACGAGCTATGTTTTGCAGTGTAGGAGTAGATTGGAAGAAACCTAGGGGCGACCAAACCAAAAACATGGCACAAATGCATGAAGTCACTGACAAGTGGACTGAGTCATGTTGGTAGATGTAGGCTACCTGGTTGGGGTCCGCGAGACGATAGTCACCAATGGTTAGAGACCTTGAACAACATGGCTCAGAATCGTTTGCAATGGCGCAGGTGCATCCACTCTCTGTGTTCTATGAAGTTCTCAGCTTCTGCATTCCTCATAATCTCTACCTTTCTCCTTCTAAATTTATCTTACTTAATTATACTTCTCGAATCATATCATATCTTCGCTCCTTAATCTTGTCCATTACTGCTAATACTTCTATTATTGCTATCACTCTTGGATTCGAACTGACAGTTGCGTCTCTGTGCTGATGCGGCATGGCAACATGAACTGATGTACTGATGTACGAAGTTCTGCTTTGTATCTGTCTGTCTACACATTAGAATCAGCATATATTTAACTGTTTATATATATGGATAACTTTTGTTACTTTATCAATTAATAATCACGTTTAACTTCATTTATCAAGTACAACTCGAAATACTTGATATTTGGACTAATAATACTACTTGGTTGCACAAATTAGAATAGATTGATTGCGGTCCAAACTGACGACATAGGAGTTGAAGATTTCAGGCATTAAACTGCCGCATCATTTGATTATAGTACTGACTACTTGACACTAGAACCTATCAATTGTTTGAACAACTTTTTATTACCATTTTTCTAATTGATTAGCAGATACAAAAAGTACTAGATAGTAAGTAGTCAATGCTTCATGATTATGCTATTTCTGGAGTCAAGTTATGTTTATTTATTAGTTCATAAACTCCAATTGTCGACTACCTGGTTGGGGTCCGCGAGGTGATAATAATCGATGGTTAGATACCTTGAATGACATGGCTGAAAATCGTTCGCAATGGCGCCGGTGCATTTATTCTTTGTGTTCTCTCAAATCCTAATCTTCTGGATTCTTCAACAACTCTAGTTTTGACTTTCTAAACTTTTCTCACTGAATCATACTTCTTGAATAATATCTTGTAATCCTAACCTCTCCGATTACTTCTAATACCTTTACTACCTCTTCTACTATTGGATTTGAGTTGACAATTATATCTGTGTGCTGATGTGGTATGGCAACATGAACTGATGTACTTATGTACGACGTTCTACGTTGCATCTGACTGACTGACTGACTCATTTACTAGGTGCAAAACTGTGTGAGGGCCAGTGATACAATCAGGTTATCCAAGCCAAATTAATTAGAAACTGATTACTTCAGGTGGTGTTCGTCAAGGTTATCCACTCTCTTATTCAAGTTTGTCATAGACGTACTTTTAGAGATAAAACTATCCTTGTATGATGATGTTTCAGGAATTGAATATTTACCAGCAGAATTCACTTCTCGGCTTAGAATATGTCGATGACATACTTCTACTTGATGATGCGATTCTCACCCTCGAAATGCAAAATGTTGCTTCAGGATTGGCTTCCGTCGGCACGAACTAGTCACAGGGAGTAAGGCAGTCCAGCATGTTGACCGCCTCACTTATCTTAGGAGTCTCATCAGTGCTGATGTGCTAGTGTGTGACGAAAACTCAGCACGGATACAGAAGACTCAGTCGTCTTTTGCCAACCTGCATCACTTATGGCGTAGACGAGATATCCATTTGCTAACTAAAGGACGAGTGTACTGCGCAGCTGTTTGCTCTGCCCTACTTTATGGCTGCGAAACATGGCCAGTGAGAGTAGAAGATATTCATAGGTTGCTTATTTTCGATCGTAGGTGTCTCCAAAGCATTGCTCGTGTATCATGAGAAACGGGTGCTAGGTAAGGATGGCAGATCAATAGATAAAGTATTGAAACTTCATCAGTTGAGATGGTTGGGACATGTGCTAAGTTTGCCCAACCGCCGAATACCTCGTGGAGCTATGTTTTGCGATGTAGGAATAGGTTGGAAGAAAGCTAGTGGCAACCAGACCAAAACGTGGCAGAAATCCATGAGGTCACTGACAAGTAGATTGAGTCATGTTGATAAGTGTAGACTATCTGGTTAGGGTCCGCGAGTTGATAGTAATCAATGGTTAGAGACCGTGAATGACATGGCTCTAAATCGTTTTCAATGGCGTAGGTGCATCCACTCTTTGTGTTCTCTCAAATTCTAACCTTCTGAATTCCTCATCACTTTATCTTTTTCTTTTCAAGTTTATTTCACTGGATTCTACATCTTGAATAATATCTTTGAACCCTAATCTCTCCGATTACTGCTAATGTTTTTAATACCTCTACTACTATGAGATTAGAATTGACAATTACATCTCCTTGCTAATGTGGTATGGCAACCTGAACTGATGTACGTACATACGAAGTTCTACGTTGTAGCTGAGTGATACGGACTGGTTAAAGTATTGAGCTTCCAATCAGCAAGTCACAGGTTCGAACCCCACGTAATCGACTTCGGTTTCTGCAGCCGCATAGCACCGTCACAGTGTTGTTTAAAGCTGAGTACGTAAACTGTATTTAGTAAGGGAGCTGCATTTACTATTTCGCTGTATTTATGTTTATTCGTCAAAATAGATTATTACTTGGTTTTTGTTCTGTTGACTGTCACTTATAATATATTTACATCGTTAGAAAATAGCTATCATGACTGTTCTGTATTTAAATGGAAACTTGAACTGACGTACGTACGTACGTACGAACGAAGTCCTACATGGTTACTGACTGACTGTATTTATTGTGAACTAGCAGTGAGTTTTTTTATTTTAAACTTTTCAACAGCTCTAACGTTCACAACTCAAAGTTGACTTTTTTGAATATGACAAAGGTCAAATAAAGCACCTTTCAATGTCCCCATTTAATAAATACTTCTCTGGTGACCTCATCGAACATTCTGTCAGTAGGCTTATTGTTTTCGAAAAAAAAAATTGAACAATTAAATCTTTACTAATATATGTTTGATATTTGTGTATAAAAATATGCAACTTATTATTGATATATTTTAGATGGGAACTGAACAGCTCTCATTTCATATACATGATCTTGATCCATGGTCTAATTATACACTATATCTATCTGCAGTTACTTGTCATGGTGAAGGAGTACGATCATTGCCGGTTTATATTTTTGCATATCCTACACGAGGTCATTTTCCAGAATTATCAGATGTTGTAGCATCATCCAACTATCCATTAATGAATTTAAATCACTATGAATCTGGTAATATTTATCGGAAAGTTTTATACGATGGAAGAAGTCTCTATCCAGGAAGTTCATCATCACAAGCGCTTAGTGAACATATAAATTCGAAAATTACTGAAAAAGGTGGTGGTGGTGGTGGTAGTCTTACCAGAGAACCTTGGTTTATTGTTAGTGCAATTATGTTCAGTGTACTATGGGTAATTATTTGTCTTGCTCTTATCATATATGGACGACATAGAAGTGAGCGACAAAGACGACGTCAAACTGTTTTAGACGTGATGGATGCTGAGATAATTGCTAAAAATGGACGTGTTGGAGTTGTGAATAAAACACAAGAGGCAGGTACAGCTTCACCTCCAATTTATATGGGTAATTTTACTACTTCTACAGAAGCTACATCGCTTACTTTGATTGAACCTCTCACTGTTAATGCACCACCAGTGGTATCCGATCGAAACCATGCACCACCGAATTTGTGCAATCCTATATTTAATGAGAAATGTTATGGGAATGGTTTTACCCGTCCAATTAATCCATCCTATTCTGTATCTGTTGCCAATGGATATTCTATGACAAATGATGGAAGTTTACATTCAGTCCCGACATATTTGCCACAATATCCTCATGGCAATCCAATGATGTCCATAGATAATCTAAAGAATCATTCATATAATAATCCCGGTGTCGTTGTTCCGAGTATTCCAGTTAGTAGTGCTCAATGTAAGTTGATTGCTTTGTTTATTAAAACTGTATAATAATTATGTCCCTTCCCAGGTTCTATTAATATCTGGAATTTAATCCAACCTATAAATTAATCGAGTAGTAGTGGTAGTGAGTAACATAATAACCATGTTAAAGCTCTCATTGATCAATGTTCTACACATCGTTGGTGATCGCATGTTCTAATCGTATCCGAACAATTCTGGATCCTACTTTGTTCAGGTTTTGAATTTATGCTCTGTAAGAGGTATTCTTGAAATAGGGAGAAAACTACTCTTCACTATAGTCGATAATTTGTTGAATGATCCTGGTTAGCTCAGCACATACACATGTATCGTGTATATATTTTTATGCGTTTAATTTTAAACCCAACTCTAAGTGTGAATGTCGTGTCGCCGGATCCTCGATCCTCGCTCTCGTTTTCAGACTGAGGTGAACTTGTAATAGTTCAAGCCAATCAAAATGACGTGTTTACGTGCATTCGTAACAGTCGGTTCATCACAATAGACAAGCCCAATCATCGCACCAAAGTAGCAGCTACGGTCGGAATGAGATGATTTGAAGTTTTAGCTCCGCTCTCCGGAGATGTAAATCCGTGATGTAAGGTGGGTTGTGACATTTTTTGGGGTGGAACTTTTCTAACCTCTTCCTTCAGTTGTTGTGGTGCGAGCTACTTATAAGTAGTATATGACGTGAGTGTCAACGTAATGTCTGGCAGCAGAAGATGCGGGGGAAGATCAAGAAAGGAAGAGTGGGAACACAATGGAATTTGTATCAAACGCATGAATAGTGAAATATCAGACAATGGATTGATGATGGATTGAAGATTTGCAAATTAACCGTTTACGATATGGTTTTCCGATTTTACTGAGTAACTCTGTAATTTGCGTTGAATACAATTCGGTTGCCCTCACCTGTGTTCTCCTACACTACATTGTGAGGCGGCAGCACTGTTGCAGATGCCTATTGTTCCAGGGAAACACCTTACTGCTGACATACCCCTCTAAAGGCAGCAGTACGACTTCACCTCCAGACTTAAAGTTGCCGCTTTTACTCTCATCTTTGTCCAGTAGACCTGTGTGACATGTCAGAACCTACAAGAACATATCTTCTAGCCAATATGGCTCGGTCGGGTCATTATAATAGGCGAGTTTCGATCACCATGTCAGCGTAGCAGCTACAGTTGACACTCTTCATATACCTATGTGTATAACTCTTTAAAGTCAATTTTCATTGTTCTAACGAAAGACTATTATCAATGACGTCATATACAACATGATTGTTAGTTCGCCATTGATCAAACTGACTGATGATCATAGAATTAATGTAGTTGGAAATATGTCAACGAATCTACACCGCTGGTCAAGAAGTATTAGTCCCTTATTGTGGAGAAGGTCTAATAGACTTTCACGCCTACTCTTGCCTTCTCTCTCTCTCTCTCAAGTAACCGATCCGGTGGAGTATGAGCATGTATTTACAATCACTGCACATGATAAACTCTTAAGCATGTATTCAGTCAGTCAGTCAGATGCAACGTAGAACTTTGTACGTAAGTACATCAGTTCATGTCGCCATACCACATCAGCACAGAGATATAATTGTCAATTCAAATCCAATAGTAGAGGAGGTAGTAAAGGTATTAGGAGTTATCGAAGAGGTTAGGATTAGAAGATATTATTCAAGAACTGTAATTCAGTGAGATAAGATTAGAAAGACAAAGGTAGAGGTTCTGACGAGTCCAGAAGATTAGGATCTGAGAGAACACCTGGAATTAATGCACCGGCGCCATTGCAAACGGTTTTGAGCCATGTCATTCAAGGTCTCTAACTATCAACTACTATAATATCGCTGACCCCAACCAGGTAGTCGACAACTACCGACATGACTCAGTCCACTTGTCAATGACTTCATGGATTTCTGCCATGTTTTGGTTTGGCCGCCCCTAACTTTCTTCCAACCAAAAGCTTTTTAAAAATTGAAACTGAAATAGGAAAAAACTTTTTTGAGCTAACAAGATGATTATCTGAGTAATTGACTGATGCGCTTAGATATCATCATTAGTGTGATAATATTCGAGTAATAGAATGGTTTTGATTGTTGATAACTAATAGTGATTTTGACCAAGTTATTTTATGATTATATTTCAGTGTTACCTGGTGGTACTCATTGTTCATCAGAGCTTAGACACACTGGTACAACTCATTTAGCACCAAATGGATGTTTACCTTTACCATCTGGTCATACTTCACAAAATCCATCATCCGAAGATCATGCTACACCGTATGCTAGTGTATCAGTGATTCAACCATTAATGTTTGATCATACACCTATGGATTATGGTGTTATGCAACAGGTGATGCGTGGTAGACAACTTTCACTTGCAGAGATTATACCTCCTCCTCCAGACTATCCACCTCCATCACTTCCGTCTTTCTCACCGGTCCCTCATCATTTTACAAGTTGGTCTCTAGGTGAAGCACCTTGTTCCGGTAGTGGTGAAGATTCAGCTTATAGTGATTTTCGACAATCATCTCAACATCAAGGTGGTTATGAGGGGACTGTAGGAGGCAGTGGTCCACCGGTTTCTTCTTCTTCACATCACAACTGGTTAACATCACAACATGAAAGTAACAGTGCTCTCCCGACATCTTCACATTCTCTATCAAAAACCAGTGGTCTCTCATCTGAATGGCCTATTCATGAAAGTGTATCCACACCTCATTCCACAGATCAACATATATTTGGTAAGCATAGTTTTGTTTACGATTTCGTTTAACGAAACCCTTTTTCTCACCAGTTTAATCCTTATGATAACAACTGCTGTCAGTCAGTCAGATGCAACGTAGAACTTTGTACATAAGTACATCAGTTCATGTTGCCATACCACATCAGCACAGAGAAGTAATCGTCAATTCAAATCCAATAGTAGAAGAGGTAGTAAGGGAATTAGAAATAATCGGAGAGGTTAGGATTAGAAGATACTACTCAAGAAGTATGATTCAGTGAGAAAAGTTTAGAGAGTCGAAACTAGAGGTGTTGAAGAATCCAGAAGATTAGCATTTGAGAGAACACAGAGAATAAATGCACTGGCGCCATTGCGAACGATTTTGAGCCATGTCATTCAAGGTCTCTAACCATCGATTATTATCATCTCGCGGACCCCAACCAGGTAGTCGACAATTACCGACATGGCTCAGTCCACTAGTCAATGACTTCATGGATTTCTGCCATGTTTTGGTTTGGCCGCCCCTAGCTTTCTTCCAACCTATTCCTACACTACAAAACAAAGCTCTTCGAGGCAGTCTGTGGTTGGGCATACGCAACACATGTCCCAACCACCTCAACTGGTGAAGTTTCAATACTTCATCGATTGATCTGCCATTCTTACCTAGCACCCGATTCCTAATAACAGCGTTGCTCACTCGGGTGTCCCACGATATACGAGCAATGCTTCGAAGACACCTATGATCGAAAACCATTAACCTACGAATATCTTCTACTCTCACTGGCCATGTTTCACAGCCATAAAGTAAGACGGAGCGAACTACTGCGCAGTACACTCGTCCTTTAGTCAGCAAACGGATATCTCGCCTACGCCATAAGTGACGCAGGTTCGCAAAAGCCAATCGAGCCTTCTGTATCCGAGCTGAGATTTCGTCAGTCACCAGGCCATCGGCACTGATGAGACTCCCAAGATAAGTGAAGCGGTCTACACGTTCAACCACTTCACTCCCTATCACTAGTTCAGGTGCCAATGAAACCCAGTCTTGAAGCAACATTTTGCATTTCGAGGGGGAAAACCGCATCCCGAACATGCTTGCATTGTTGCTTAGGGTAGTCAGAAGACTCTGCATTTTGTCAGCGTCTTCACCAAGTAGGACAATGTCATCGGCATATTCTAAGTCAATAAGCGAGCCACCTGGAAGAAGGTCTACTCCTGAAAATTCAGACGAGGATAATGTTATGTCTAGGAGCATGTCTATGATAAAATTAAACAAGAATGGAGAAAGTGGACATCCCTGACGGACACCACTTGATGTAGAGAATTCCGGTGACAGTTCGCCATAAGCCCTCACCCGACCAGTGGTGTTCGAGTAAAGAGCTTGTATAAGGTTAATGTACTTCTGTGGTACACCTTTCAATGACAGACACTGCCAAAGAACCTCACGATCAACAGAGTCGAATGCCGCCTTAAGGTCTAGGAAAACAACTATTGTAGGACGCCTAAATGTATGTCTATGTTCCAGGACCTGTCTGAGTGTGAAGACGTGGTCTATACAACCACGTCCAGGTCGAAAACCAGCCTGGTTTTCTCGAGTCTGCTCTTCACGAGCTTTCGTTAAGCGTCGAAGTATTATTGAGGCCAATATTTTAGATACTATATTAGTTAGACTTATTCCTCTGTGATTGTCACAAGAAGACTTTTGTCCTTTCTTATAGATTGGGACAATCAAGGATTGCGACCAGTCGGATGGGATTACGTCCAGTTCCCAGATTTTACCTAAGATCTCAGTCAATCTAGCTGCTAAAACTGGACCACCATCCTTAAATATCTCAGGGGTCAGTCTATCAGGACCTGCAGCTCGTCCTCGTTTCAGATTTCCTAACGCTTTCTCAACGTCATAAAGACTAGGGGGACTTACGTCGATTTGCCATTCAGGATGACTGGAGATCGTGGGTAACTGAAGAGTGGCTCGTGGCCAGTTGAACTGATCCCTAAAGTGTTCTGCCCATCGATCCAGCCTCCTGGATTGAGAATGGATAATAAGACCATCCTTTTCCGAGATAGTCTCACTCACATTCGGGTTCTTAATACCGGTTTCTTTGATAAGGCGGAAAAGTTGTCTAGTGTTGCCTATCGCCGCTGCCTTTTCCATCGCTTTTGCTTTCGCCACCCACCACTGTTCGCGATCGTTACGCAGACTTTTTATAAGTCTGCGCCTAAGCTGACTACGCTCTTCATCATGCTCAGAGTCAGGTGGGATGCGTTTCCGAGCATCCATCAGTTCGGTGGATGCGACTGAAATCCACGGCTTCATCCGAGCCTCATGGTTTACCTTCCTAGCAGATATCACTGCTGTTTCCACAGCCTTTTTGATCTCATACCAACCTGCTTCTGGATGGGAATCGCTTGCATGGTCGCTTAACTCTCTTTCTAGTTGCTCCTGAAATATATTCTTGGTTTGATTATCATTAAGTAAAACCCTAAGAGGCTTTCTTACGGTGTCTTTCCTACGTCCAGTAAGCCTTAAACAGATACGAGCTCGCACTAGAGCATGATCTGAATCCAAACATGTGCTCCAGAACGAGCGACAGTCTTCTATCGAACCCCTCCATCGGTGGCTGATGGCGATGTGATCTAGTTGAGTCCAACGTTGAGACGACTTTGGAGGTCGCCAGGTCAACAGATGCTTTTCCTTATGCCTAAAGTTGGTGTTCGCTAAGAATAGGCGGTTATCTGAGCACAGTTGCAACAGACGGTCACCATTGTCTGTTCTCTCAGTCGCTACACCATAACATCCACCAAGATGTCTTTCCTTTTCACCTAGTCTACCTACTTGAGCATTAAAGTCACCAGCCATTATTACTATATCAGAACGCCTAGCTTTTTGGAGGAGGTCCGAAAGCTTTCTGTAAAACTCATCTTTAACCTCGTCTGCACTGCAGTCAGTGGGGGCATAGGCAGATATGACGAAGAGGCAACGGCGAGTGTCCCTATCCTTACGAGTCCTTACTGTCCCGTTTAGTCGGACAGCGCACAAACGACTATCTACTGGGATCCAGTCTAGGAGAGATAATTCTGCCCTAGGACTCAACGCTATGCCTACACCAGCAAGACCCCTGGAAGCAGCATCAGGGCTACCGGATACCCGAAGAGTAAATCGAGCTGCTTCTTCGTTTTGACAAGGTGGAATCAGGTTAATGACTTTACTAGGATCCTGTATGCGCGTTTCCGAGACGCAGCATACATCGATGGCACGAGTTTCTAAAGTCCTAGCTAATGATGCCTGTTGCCCTATTTGACACAATGTCCGTACATTAAAAGCTCCAATATGTAGTCTAGAACGGGGTTTCAAGAGACCAGGAACGACGTTTCGTGATCTCGCTTCGTCTGCATTAGCGGTGCAGTGAGAAAAGGGAGTGTGAGTAGAGTTAGTTGTAGAGATAAAAGAGACATTAGGGGGTGTAGGAAGGATTTGATTTTGACCAATTTGGTCTCGCGTGCTGTTATGGGTATGAGGGCGGTTGTCACTTCCCGGCTGCCCACACCGTGGAAGGTTGTTTCTTGAGGGACCTGAAAAGGAAGATGGATTAGTGTTGGTGCGTGACCGCAGAGCCCAAGGGACAACTGCTTGAGGCCGGTCACGCACGGCCTTTTTATGAAAGGTATTTTGAGAATTAGCTCCGTTCTTAAAGGCCCTTAGTGGGCACCCTTACCCAAGGAGACGGAAATCCGTGAGTTAGGGGGAGTGTGACATTTTTAGGGCCGACCTTTTCTAACCCTTCCTTCCTTGTGAGAAGGCAGCATCGCTGCAGATGCTGGTTGTCCGAGGGAAACACCTTACTGCTGTCACACCCCTCTGCAGTCAGCAGTACGACTTCGCCCTCAGACCTTGGGTAGCTGCTTTTAGTCTCATCGTTCTCCAATCGACCAGCCTGGCATGGTAGGACCTGCAGGAACATATGTTCCAGCCAGTATAGCTCGGTTGGGTCATCACGATAGGCAAGCCCGACCACCACGTCAAGGTAGCAGCTTCGGTCGGGTAACAACTGCTGTGAAAGCTTATCGAAAATTATATGTAGTTAATTTGACGATTTTATATTTTGATAATCATGAATCGACTGAGCAGTATGAATTTCTTAGTAGACTTGTGTTTTTTTAACGCACTACTAGATACGAGAATCGTATAGTACTTATCTTTTGCACGTTAAGAGCTGCATCGTGATTGTGATAGGGAGTGAAGTAGTCGAGCGTGTAGACCGCTTCACTTATCTCGGGAGTCTCGTCAGTGTTGATAGCCTGGTGTGCGACGAAATCTCAGCACGGATACAGAAGGCTCGATTAGCTTTTGCCAACTTTCGTCACTTATGGCGTAGACGAGATATCCGTTTGCTAGGGAAAGGAAGAGTGTACTGCGCAGCTGTTCGCTCTGTCCTACGATACGGATGCGAAACATGGCCGTTCAGAGTAGAAGGCATTTGTAGGTTATTAGTATTCGATTATAGATGTCTTTGAAGCACTGCTCATATGTCCTGTGACAACCAAGTAGGCAATGCTGTCGTTAGGAAACAAGTTATAGGTAGGGATGGCAGATCAGTCTTTGAAGTATTGAAACTTTATCAGTCGAAGTGGTTGGGACATGTGTTACGAATGCGCAACCGCCGACTGCCTCGACGAGCAATGTTTTGTGGTGTAGGTTTAGTTTGGAAGAAAGCTAGGGGCATCCAGACCAAAACATGGCAGAAATGCGTGAAGTCACTGACAAGTGGACTGAGTCATGTTGGTAGATGTAGGCTACCTGGTGAAATAAATAAATTAAAAGTTACGGAGAACTCAGAAGACAAAAAATGGGTGATCCTGCGTCTTCAAAGACGATTTTAAGCCATGTCATCCAAAGTTCTTAACCACTACTTACGAATATCATACGGATCTCAACCAGGTAGTCCGCATCTACTAACATGGCCCAGTCAAATTGTCATTGACTTCATGAGTTGGTGCCATGTTTTATTTAGACCGTTCCTAGGTTTTTTCCAACCCACTCTTCCACTAAACAACGTTGCTCACCGCCGGAGACGGAAATCCGTGAGGTAGGGTGAGGTGTGACATTTTTAGGGTCGACCTTTTCTAACCCGTTCCTTCCTTGTGAGAAGGCAGCATCGACGCGGATGCCGGTTGTCCAAGAGAAACACGTTATTGCTGTCACACCTCTCTTCAGTCAGCAGTATGACTTCGCCCTCAGACCTTGGGTAGCTGCTTTTAGTCTCATTTTTCTCCAATCGACCTGCCTGGCATGATAGAACCTTCAGGAACATATGTTCCAGCCAGTATAGCTCGGTTGGGTCATGACGATAGTCAAGCCTGACCACCACGTCAAGGTAGCAGCTACGGTCGGGATTTAATTTCACCTAGTTGAGACAGCGAAACAACACTGATTACATTTCTTGTTTCAGGTAGCCCTGATGCTGCCTCGCTGGGGTAGGTATAGTATTAAGTCCTTGGGCAGAACAAGCTCTCTTGGACTGGATAACGGTAGACAGTCGCTTATACGCTGTCCGACTAAACGTGACGGTATTTCGACTCGTAAATATATATATACCTACGCATCCTGGATTCCACTGCTATAATACACTCTCCTATACAAAACACTTAACCAGTAGACAAGGCGAAATAAGCCCGATACAACACAAAATTATTTAATTTCGAAATGTCGCGGATAACTTCAATACACGTTTCACTCTAGACATATTTTAATTTCTTCGGTTAATTATAACAAGAACCCTCACGAATCATGTAAAATTGTAACAGTGTTAGAAAAATTTCTAATTTCATTATAATGATTATTTATAATACTGTTGTCGTTTTTTTTGTGTGTCCTGTTGACCATTACACACACACACAGTGTGTGTGTGTGTATGTCTCTGTGTGTCTATGTGCCAAATGCCTTGTTATATGGTCCAATTTGTTTTCCCCATGTTAAATTCGTTCCGTTCCGTTCCGTTCGTTCGTTAAATATAATAAACACAGATATTCGCATATTTTTCATCGATAATTGTTTATCAAGTTGACCCAATGAAACAACGACAACAACAACATGAAGAATGAGACAACAAAGGTCATCATACTACACCAGTATGTTGTGTGACACAGCAAGAGAGAGACGAAAAATATGAGAAATTTATATATATATATATATATATATATATATATAGCTTTTTTGCATTACGGGGTTGTGAAGATTGTTAAGTTACACATTTCTTTTTGAAACCATGAATCGATCAATGTTAGACCAACATTAGAAACCTGGGAGCACTGAAAAACGACCGTTTCGTCCTGGTATGGGACTCCTCAGCAGTGCGCATCCACGACTCCTGCACCCCCGTAGGATTCGAATCCAGCACCTTCGGTATTGTGCGCGAACGTCCTAACCGTTAGACCACTGAGCCGGTATCCAACTTTTACCGTCTGGTCTTTCTTGTATACCGTTTTCTTTGACCTACTGTCATTTATTTTTGTGAGTAAAATCACTGATCTCCTGGTCTCTACGTCAACTGATTTGCTAGATAATTGAAAGTACTCGATAGGCAGTCATTTATTTAGGTTTCGCGCTATTTTCTTATCGACCACCTCTAATCACCTTACATCAACAATAAGTGTGATATTTGACCGCAATTAGACAATTCGACTATGATTGGAAAATTCATGAGAACGATCGATTAGTATAAGAAAAATCAACTGAACACACACTCACGCACATATAATGATATTCGTTTATCACGCATTGATCTCTCTATACATTAAAAATAGGATATTATTGTTAAGATATTCATCAAATCATCCTAAGAGAATTATTGGTCAATTCCTATTGGTTAATTCCTACTGGTCAATTTTACGATCGTTCTAGATATCAATGTCACGTGCTCCAATGTTGTTTCCTATTGGTCGCTTTAACTATCAATGTCACAGACTTCAAATGTTGTTTCCTATTTTACCTGACTGTATAAATACGCATTATCTGTAACGTTTTATGATCAGGACGCAGTCGCAGATCCTTAGTCCGGGATCCTGATTCTCTTCTGGACTCGGACCTCGTACTTTCTGGATGTTTGTAGAATACACGTTCTACTTCATATCAAGTCTTCTTCTTTTACTCAATATGGGGGGGGGTGTTGAGACACTCGGATTAGAGTAGCCTGTCGTGTTGCCAGATCCTCTATCCTCGCTCTCGTTTCCCGACTAAGGTCAACTCGTAATCGATAATTCAAGCCTATCAAATTAACCTGTTGACGTGCATGCGCGTAACATTATTGATTTAATTATTAACTGTTAATTAATCATAAGTGTTCAATTGTAATGTAGTTTGCATTACGGGGTTGTGAAGATTGTTAAGTTACACATTTTTTTTGAAAACACGAATCGACCAATGTTATACCACCATTAGAATCCTGGAAGCAGTGGACGGCCATTTCGTCCTGGTATGGGACTCCTCAGTGGCAGTGCGTATCCACGACTCCTGCACCCCGTAGGATTCGAATCCAGCACCTTCGGTATTGTGCGCGAACGTCCTAATCTTTAAACCACTGAGCCGGTACCTAACGGTGTTAATGTCTAACTTGATCAAATTTGCGGAGTTGCGCAACCTCATACACAGTCTTCGGTAGTTACTACTGCCTACACAAGAACAGGTTGAACTTCACTGGCACGTCTTCCCACCACCAGAACTCGGAGAAGATTCCCCACGCGAAGCTAGTCACTAGTGAGCACAGGTAATTTGCGCACTGCTGACGGGTAATCCCATACCAGGACGAAGCGGCCGTCTCTCAGTGCTTCCGGGTTTCTAATGGTGCTAGTCTAACACATTGATCGATTCATGGTTTCAAAAAAAATGTGTAATGTAATTGTTTATTGATTTTCATTGGACGTTTGTTTTTGTCTTTTGTGTTGATTTTCTTTACAGCTCATCATCATCAGCATCCTCCAGCATCTTTATCAACTAATCCACCCTCACATGTAGCCTGTTAACAACAATCGTGCGTGAAAATCAGCTTCATTCCTTCTTCCTACTGTTCTCTGTGTGTGTGTATGTGTGTGTGCACACACACGCGCGCGCGCCTCTGGTTTCCTCTTTCCTTTTTAGGCGGGGTGGGCCGGCGGACTAGATTAACTAACTTTTCGATTAGGTTTTCTTTTTCCTTCTGCTTACTTTATTTATTGTCTTTGATTGTATTCTCTTGTAACGCGAATGTCGCCTAATATTATTGTAATTATTACTTGTTACTGGATATCATCATCGTCATCATCCTCAACAGAATTTCGATTAGTCATCTATTGTGGTGTTTTGGTTAGTTTATGGAGGATTGTTTATTATGCGAAAGTAATTCCTATTGGAACATCCTCTTCGTGTGTGTGTGTGTATGTGTACACGTTATTGTAAAAGACTTTCATGACCATCCACGCACACACACGCACACTCATTTAGGCACGTGTATGTATATATACTCGCCGTGTGTGTGTGTCTGTTGGTCGTGGGGATTGTGACCGGGAGGCTAAGACAAAATATTCGCGACAACAACAACAACTACGGCGTGTGTTTGTGCGTGTGCGTGTTTACAGTGTCCAGACACATGGATTTTCTCTGTGTGTTGCTTGTTTTTTCTTTTCTGTAAAAAATTTGTTTAGGCATGATTTTCTTTTCCAAAAAATATTATTACTACTATTATTTCTGTAATTATTTTTCTGAAAGTTAATAATCATCATAAATAATGAATACATTTTTGCTTAATTGTTGTCGTCATATTTCCGGTTTTTTCTTTTTTTGAACACAAACAAACAAACACACACACAATGAATGTCCCAATTGATCATTGAATGATCTCGTTTGTTTTATTTTATTTGTTTGCTCAATTAGAGGAAAAAAGAAAAGTGATCATTTATTCGTTTAAAGTTATTTATTTACAGTTATTTTCTGTGCCTACTCACTGACTCCACTCACTGACTCATTCATTTCGGCAAATTATTCTTCTCTCTTACAGAATTTCTTTTTGATCATTGATCATGATGTGCTGAAAATGTTTTATTGATTTTTATTTACTGATTTTGATTTATTTCGGTCAACCATGTGTGTGCGTGTGCGTGTGTGTATTCATCATTGTAATCTTGTTTCTTCTTCATGATCTTGTTCTTGTCCGTCTGGATTATGTAAACATATTGTCTTATGATTACACTAGTTTATCTGTGTACGATCTCGTTTAGCTTTTATTTTGTGTGTGTGTGTGTGTGGATGGTCTACCAGATGATGATGAGTAGGCGTTTAGTCAAAACAATCATGGTGAATGTGTTGTGTACAGTTGTGTGCAGTTCCATTCAACAAACAAACAGTACCATGTGTTGCTTTTTTTCTGTCTTATTACTGCTGATACACATGGATTTTTTTTGGCTTTTGAACTATTTTAATGCCCCCTAATCTGAATGTGTATGTGTCGGCGTGTGTGTGCGTCAGCCATAGAAAATTGTGCGCAATAACAAATCCCTAATTCACTAATTACTGCTACTACGATTTTGATGTACATTCCGTTTTGTTGAGCCGTGTAGGCGCCTGGTAAAATGACTAGCGATGATTACCTTTGAATGATTCATTGTATATGCGTTGACTGAAATTCCACTGTTTCCTCTAATCTTTGATTTGTATGTATATAAAGCTGTGTTTTCGGTGCTTCTTCGCCGCCACCGCCTTCTTCTTGCACTTTTTGTCTATTGTTGTTGATGTTGTTTTCGCCTTACAATGATTCCCATCCACAAACTTCTACATTCTTACTCTACTCTTACTGCCTGGTTGCGTATTGTGCTCAAGTTCAGATGGTGAAGTGTTTCTGTGAAGTTCAGAGTAGTGATTACGATTGTTGTATATACATGTGTGTGTGTTTGTGCACGCACGCACGTTTATATTGTATACCTCTGTATTTGTACATGTTGTATATTTTATTTCTCTAATTGCTTTCTTTTTCATACTCTCTCTCTGTTTCTCTTATCATGGCCACCATCATATAAGGTCATACTTTGCGCACTGTTCAAACATTGACAAATTGTCTTTAACAGTGTAAACACCCACAATTCAACACCTTTTTTTCTGTCTTACTTCATTTTATAGTCAACATTGATCAACAATCGGTTAAGTTAATAAAATATTCAAATCAATCAGTCATTATTGAATTTTCACGCATTATACTACTTATTTACTTACTTACTTACTACTGCTGCTACTGCTCCTGTGTCACTACTTAAATAAATACTCCTCCAATGGATATCATTAATGATTATTATTATTATTATTATTATTATTATTATTATTATTATTATTCAATATTTTAACGATTAATTATTCTAAGAAAAAAATTATTTATATTTTCAATGCAATTAAATGACATTTGATTTTAATGTGGAGAATACAATCATGCACACACACACACCCGACAAGACAATTGTGTAAGGAATATATATATTTATATCTCAGTAAATATAATAAAATACATTAATTTACTTGCAAATTAAAAAAACTGTCCTTATGCTTATTCCTTTTTAATGTACAGTGATCGAAGCAAGTGGTTATATATATTGTGATTATACAGAAGGCTCGATTGGCCTTGGCGTCAACCTGCGTCACTTATGGCGTAGGCGAGTTATCCGCTTGATGACTAAAGGACGAGTCTACTGTGCAGTAGTAGTTCGCTCTGTCTTACTTTATGGCTGTGAAATATGGACAGTGAGAGTAGAAGATATTCGTAGTTTATTGGTTTTCGATCATCGTTGTCTTCGATGCATTGCTCGTATATCCTGGCACACCCGAGTGAGCAACGCTGTTATTAGGAAACGGGTGCTAGGTTAGAATGGCAGATCAATAGATGAAGTAATGAAACTTCATCCGTCGAGATGGTTGGGACATGTGTTACGAATGCCCAACCACCAAATGCCTCGACAAGCTATGTTTTGCAGTGTAGAACTAGGTTGAAAGAAAGTTAGGGGCGGCCAAACCAAATCGTGGTAGAAATCCATGAAGTCATTGACGAGTGGACTGAGCCATGTCGGTAATTGTCGACTACGTGGTTGGGGTCCACGAGATGATAATAATCGATGGTTAGAGACTCTGAATGACATGGCTCAAAATCGTTCGTAATGGCGCCGATGCATTTATTCTTTGTGTTCTCTCAAATTCTAATCTTCTGGATTCTTCAACACCTCTAGTTTTGTCATTCTAAACTCATCTCCCTGAATCATACTTCTTGAATAATATCTTCTAATCCTAACCTCTCCGATTACTTCTAATACTTTTACTACCTCTTCTACTATTGGATTTGAATTGACAATTACATCTGTGTGCTAATGTGGTATGGCAACATGAACTGATGTAGGTACGTACGAAGTTCTACGTTGCATCTTACTGATATTGTGATCAGAAAGATCACCTAATGTAACTTAAGCTGTTTACATGAACAAGCAAGCTACTAGAATACAGTTGCATGCTAATCAGTCAGTTATTCGGTTACATGGTAACATGCATGCATCAGTTCAAGTTGTTATACCATATTAGCACAGAGATCTAAACTGTCAGTTCGAACTGCATAGTAGTAGAGATATAGATGATAGAACGATTATTGGTAGTGAGAAAGATTAGGAGTTGAAGACATGAGTCTGGAAGTTAGAAATCAGTGAGATAAGTTGAGAGAAAAGAAGACGGACGAATGAGTCTGGTCCGATGCAAAGTATGGTGAACCATGTCTAACCACGGGTTACGACTGTTATGCTGACCTCAACCAGGTAGTGTACATCTCTGTTTGCACGGTCCAGTCCAATAGTCATTGACTTCATGGGTTAGTGCCATGGTTTGTTGTGGCCTGCCTTGAGTTTTTCTGGCCTATTTCTATACCAAATAACATACCTTATCGAGGTATGCGATGGTTTGACATAGATAATATCCAGCTCTTTTTTATCCCTTCAAACTTTGAACAATACTATATAGTCTTATTTCAGTAAGTTTCACTATCTTCTATCTAGAAAAAAGTGTGTCATTGTTACGATATTCATCAAATATCCTACAAAGAATCATTGTGTAAGTGTAAATTCTATTGGTTGATTCCTATTGGTCAATATTATGGTCATCCTAACTTTCAATGTCACAGACTTCAATGTTGTTTCCTATTCGACCTAACTGTATAAATACGCATTATCTGTAACGTTTTATGACCCGGATCCTTAGTCCGGGATCCTTGCCTTCTTCTGGACTCGGACCTAGTACTTTCTGGATGCTTGTAGAATACACTTTCTACTTCATATCAAGTCTTCTTCATCTACTCAATGAGGGTGGGGTTGGTAAACTCAGATTAGAGTAGCATGTCATGCCGCTGGATCCTCGCTCTCGTTTACTAACTAAGGTAGACTCGTAATAGTTCAAGCATATCAAAATGACGTGTTTATGTGCAATCGTAACAATCATCTGTTTTGAAACTGGTTTACTATTGTCAGAATAGTATCTACTTGAATGATGGACAAATATTACTGTTAGTGATTGCGTTGAGATGGTGGTAAATACACATTGATAACTACACTACTAAATGATACATAAACTACTACTACTGATGAGGCTGCATTCAAAACATTGTTACCTATCACATTTCAGACTGATGATGGTATTAAAGGAATTTTACAAAATGATAATTAGAAGAGTAGAAATTTTGGTAGTATCAATAATAATTATAATAATAATAATAACAATAAATAAACATATATTATATGATTGTATCGTTTAAACTGAGAATTATTACGCTGTCTAACTGATCTTACTCCATATTTTGTTAAATGGAAAACTTACAGTCATTAAAAACTTAGTCGCCTCGTGGAGTGTTCTTGATTGGCACTACACACTAATGAGCTGTTAAGCTATCGTAGTTTAGCTAGGCACAAATACTGAACATGATAAATACATGTTATATGTGTACACATGAAATACCCAATCATAGATTCTGAACATAGTAAGTTGTGATTGGTGATTGGGGGCATGTGTTAAAAATATCTCTGAAGTATAATAGAAAAAACCCAGTCAACAATTCAGTAATCACATAAGATGAATGATGAAATAATCCAGAATAATTCAACCATGACAAAATTAGTGTTTGAAATGAAGACAATGATAGTTGGAGTGTCGCAGGGTAAGAATTCAATTACATTACGAAAGAGTCGTAATCTTGCTATTAATCAAGTGGACAGTTATTTCATAACTAAAAACGATTGTTAAACTAGCTGTGAATCGGCCCTGAAAGTTATTACTTACTTACTTACTTACGCCTGTTACCCCCAATGGAGCATAGGCCGCCAACCAGTTTTCTCCAACCTACTCTGTCCTGGGCTTCCGTCTGCAGTTCTGTTCAATGTTTGTTCATTCCTCTCATATCTTTCTCTATTTCTCAGCGTAGTGTGTTCTTTGGCTTTCCCCTTTTCCTTTTGCCTTGAGGGTTCCATGTGAGGGCTTGTGAAAGTTATTACTATTCCCTCTAATCTTCTTCCTGATATAGTTGTAGGATCCAAACTGAGGTTTGGACTGGGGAATAACTGTCTAAGTAGTTTAGATACGCGCATTACCCAGCTGATATTAAAACAAGTGAATTGGGTAAATAACGGTTCTAATATTCATCA